TCGTTCTCTTGCCAAGCAATTTCTGGCCAGGTAACGGGACCCGTGAATTCGTCGCTCCGGGATCGCGTATTTCGATCGCTTCCTCAACTTGATTTACGAGACCATCCCTCACAACCCTTTCGCGATTTTCGACTAGCCTTCCGTTGCATGAATTCCACAGATTTCTCGATGACTGTGCATAACTTTTTGCGTTATCTCTAAGATTCTTCGAAACTCGTAAAAATTTTTCGATAAATTCTACGAATCTGAGATTTAATCGAGTCGCGAATAACTTTTTTTTTTTTTTACAAAATATTTAATTTTTTGATATCTTTCGTAGAATTTTCAAAAATATTTCCAAACCTGGAAAGAATTTTGAATTTTTCTTTTTTTTCTTTTTTCGATATTTTTAATTTTGAATGATGATTTTTTTCGAAATTTTAAAAAAAACTAATAAGTATTTTTTTTTAACGAGTTTCCACGAAATTTCCTCTTAAAATTTTTCCCCCATTTTTGTTCAGAGTTCGGGTAAAAATATAATTTGCATAAATAACTATTATGAAACTTGTTGAGGATTTTTGCTCGAGCTGGCAGGAATAGAGAAAAATTTGCATTTACAGTAAAGCAACACCTACCAGACACATAGGCAAGCATCGTGTACCGGACCTAATTGAATTTCACGCGGAATTAACTTAATTGATCGCCTTTAATAATGCCAGGCTCCCAATACTAAATATTTATAAACCTCTTGACGTAACGGGACTAAGCAGGGTTAACGAAGATCCCGTAGGAGAGAGATAATCTTAATTAGGGGACATTTTGTTCCGTCTATTTCGGACACGAAGCTGAAATTTCATTTAAACCTGGTCTATCTATTTAAAATTAGACCGATACATACATTTTCTCCCCTATTCAACTTGAAATGCAAAATGTCGGATCGAACTTCTCGAATTTCAATTCGATCGAATTTATTTTTTTCAAGATCGAGATTGGATGAATTCAATTCGATTCAGCTCGAAGCGGAATTCTCGGTGCTATTTCCAGAGGGACTTCGCCTTTACCCGGAACTTACATTAAGAGAAGACCACGGAAGACCTACTTATGCGGTAGCCTGTTTCAGCCACCTGCCTTACAAAACCCTGGGTGAAAAGAGGCTGGGGAGAAAGAGAGAGAGAGAGAGAGAGTTATTTGGGCAGTTGGCCCCCAAAAGGAAAAAGATCTTGTACGATTCTTGTGCCTTCCCTTTGTTAGATTTCCTCGCGACCTTTTAAGCCGCCAACCCTTCGCCTCGTCTTTTCAATAATGGATGGTTGGAGAGCCGAGGCCGGAATTCAAGTAGCTTCGTGTCCGGATTATTTTTAGAGTACTCCTGAACTTTTTCATCCGAAAAGGAGAACGAAGGTGGAGAGGTAGGTGGAGGAAAAAAAAAAGAAGAAAGAAAGAAAGAAGAGAAAAGGGCAATCAATGAGTTTCGTAATAATTTTTATCTATATACGGGACATTCTTTCAAAGAGGATGAGTCAGTTATTTATACGACTCGTGACGCAACGATTCGATATCTTTTAATCCCATAAATCGATTTAATCGAAAATCCACTTGGCAGATGAAAAGGAAAAAGAGGAGGAATCTAAAAACATTTGGACGAACGATTTCGTAAAAAAAATTCGAGATAAAATATTTTTTTTTTTTTTTCACCGATATGCAGTTTATTTTCGCAACAAAATGCTCGACGCGTTAACGTCATATTTTTCTCTTCGAAATCAAACATCGTTCCTTCGAACAGAGTTAAAACAAATATTTCCGCTTGTAAAAAAAAAAAAAAAAAAATCTCCATAAACCATGAATACACGCTCTACGTATACGAACCATTTTTTTTTTTTTTTTTTTACAACATTGTTCTACGTTTTACCAACGAATAATTGAAAAGTCAATCGAGCGTAAGTCGCATTCTTCGAAAGTGATGTAAAAAAAAAAAAATCTCTCTTTAATCGTTATAAAACAAATCGATCAAATAAAAATTAAAATATAAAAGTAGCTCGATATCCGAAGATTTGAACAAAGAATAGAAAAAAAATTTTCCATTCTCCATTGATTGAATTTCGTGAAACGAAGACTTAACTTTAATATCAATCCTTTCAAATTTCTATCTGTTTGATCCGGTAATATTATACGCGTGGCGGCCGATTTTCTCTAAAAAGCGACATAAGGTCTCCTCCACTCGATATCTGTCTCTCGATACATTGCTTTTTGGGCCATATTGCGCCAGTATCGCGGCAAGATAACTCAACGCCTCGATCGTAATAGAGCCATCGTTTATCTGCCCCGATTCTCCCTCCCCCCCCTCTCTCTTTCTCTCTCTCCCTCTCCCTATATCATCGCGCGAATCCGATTTTTCACGGTTCGTTTTCGCGTTTCGCATGAAACAGTGGAATCCCCCTCCGGGATCGGTCTATGCGAACGAGTGTTTAATGGATCGGCCTCTACTCTTATTCTCTCCTATCTCGCTCCCCTTTCACTGTGAAAAATCACGATGACATCACGGTTCGCAGCTTCGTCGCGGCGAGTCGAAGAGGCGTTACGAAAATCCTTTTTCCGCTCTCGTTTCTCCTCTCTTTTCTTTCTTTCTTTTTTCTTTTTTTTTTTTTTTTTTTTTTTTTTTTGATTTATGAGCGATAGCGGAAGACAATGACGGTATCGAGGATGGATCACGAGGAACGAGAATAGGATCCGTGTCATTCGCTCGATGATTCCATTTACGTACATTACGCCTCTCGAAAGAGAATATGAGAGTACCGTTGGTATGAATATTTCAGAGAGACCTTTTCAGAAACGTTGTCCGTTGTCCTCGTCCATTGTTCCAGGGTTTAATTTTTTCCCCTTCCGTGACAGGAAAGATCGGTTTTTCTGAAATATTCCTCCTCTCTTTGCGAAAGAATTTTTAGAACGTGGTCTATGACTTTCCACTTTCGAAATAAAAATTGGAGCGGACACTAAGAGGCAGACGTTTTATTTATCATTTTACGCGTCGAGAAGTAAATATTTTCTCTTATAAGGTAAAACGAATGAAATGGCGAAATTCGTCCACGCTCGTTTAACAAGCGCCTACTTTTTCGAGCATTCGCGTTTATTCGTTCTAAAACGAAAAAAAAGAGGGGGGGATAGGAATAATAATACTTGGACGAAGCTGGGCAAAAAAGAAAGAAACGAGATGGAGATAGATAAATTCGCGGGCGAAAAGGTTGGCGAAGGCAATTTGGCGGTGAACGGGATGAGGCTCGTAGCCGTCAGACCACCCACTAATGGCCGTGCTCGGCAATAACGCGGAATGACATCAGAATCCATCCCGTTTTCCTTTGTCAGTAATTGCGCTCTAATCGCGTATGCTCGACGCGAAGCGGATGAATACCACACGTATACGCGACCGAGAATCGAGTTGAAACGAATTTGAAGCCGAGATCGGTCGATCTAGGCCTCGTTATGAAATCATTTCGAAACGAGCGTGGCTGTTACTTAATTGTGGCCGATCGTGCTTAACGCTGTTGGATAGCGTTGCATCGTATTTGAAAATATAACGGAGGCGATACGTGCCGTTTTTCTACCGCGAATCGCCGA